AAATAATTTTTAAACCACAGTATAATTTTAATTTTAAACATTGCTCACATTCCGCCACTTGAAAAGATTATACAAAATTCTGTTGCCAGTAAAGAATATTAAATTCTTTATGTAAAACAAAAAAGAAAAAAACGATGATATCATAAAAGATACAAAATCGATCTTATTGTCATCGTCGTATGATTGAAATTTTTCACATAGTCACAAAATTAATCGCAGTAATGCATGTGACATCTAACAGTGACAACAATTATTTTAAACAAGATTATATAATTGTTATTAACGTTAATAATAAAATTACTTACATCAAAACGCTTCTTCATTAATTACAGCCGCCACTTTCTCGTTTCCTAAGATCGTCACGTGATTACCTTCGACGTAATGTACTACCACCTTATTTTCAGTTATCTTAAACGCGTTATAAATTTTATTAAAAAATATTGTAAAATTTAATATATTAAATAATGAATACTGATAAAATGTTTTCTTAAAATACCTTATATAAACCATAATCCTCTTCTAATTCAGGTGCATATGACAACGTAGGTTTTAACAACGTTATAGGTGATTTAATACGAGGTAATGTAGAAGAATCATATTGCCGAATAGACAGTATGTTTTTATAAATTGTTGCATACAGTGTTTGTAAATTAGGGCGTGACAGAAGTGAATTTACTTTTGAAAAGTATTTGGCGAAAATTTCAAATCTTTCTTCCCAAGTTTCACATTTTCTTAATTCCAATAGAACCTGTCAAATTATACGTTCTACTTTTAAAATCAACTTATTATAAAATGAGAAATATTTACAGTATAAAACTGACAGTAAGAAATGAGTCATACACAAAATATCCGCAATCAAAAATGTATTAATTTAATTAATTTAAAAATATAAGTAATGGTGTTATACCTCTTCACTGATTTCTGTTTCATAAATCTTTAGAATAATGATCATAATATTAATCTGAATTTCTTCATCGCTCATATAGTAAGACTTATTGATTTTAC